TCATTTAGATATTCAGATGACTACCCGTATTATATATCTCAATTCAAATAGACCACATGGACAACATATTGTTACCTACAGGATATCCGAACATAATCTCAAATTCAAACTTATTTCTTATAATATGTAATGGTTAAATAAATAAAAACATCTGGTTTAAATTTTGTGTTATTGTTAAAAAAAAATACAAATGATGTACTTCAAGTGTTGATACAAATGCAGTTGGGTTTAGTTACAGATTTAAAATTTATATTTTTATGGACTAAATTCAATTTGATTCGATTCAAAATAGTTATATTGCTTTATTCTTTCTCATAGACTAATTTAAAAACAATTCGTTTTTTTTTTTTACCTATTTACATTTAACAGTTGATTATGAATTACTGATGGCTGACAGAAAAATACAATTGATAGCTTGAAAGTTGAAACAGTTAAGACAAATAAAAACAATTATGTTTTGTAGGACATTTATTTATCTTTGTCAAAATTCGGTGTTGATTTTATGTACAATTATGAACTATACGTGTACCATACTGATCTGGACATCTGGTGCATATTCCATATACTATTTTACAAAATAAATTTACTGCAAATTAATAAAATAAGCAATAGACTAGTACCACAGGTACTGCGGTAAAATATTACAAAGTCTATAATCAATTATTATCGGTACATATTATGTGCTTTTCGAAGAACATAATTTAATGGATGCAACATAGATGCATGGCTGTATGTCGTAATACTATAAGGAGTGTAATAGTCATAAAACAACAACATTCGGACGTTCTCGTGTTGTCTTTAGGCCCGTGGACTTTGTGTTGTCACAGTAAAACTGACGGAGACATAGGCGCATAGTCAAGCACATTAACTATAAAAACACATGAAAATACATGATATTTTACATGTTTTATGGTAAAGTGTATTTTTAAATAGCGTGTGGCTGACACATTTTCAAAAAATGTTAAAACCATTTTGTGTATTTCTGGGTATTTTATTTCATTTCACATAATTAATTACAGCAGTTGCTAAATGCGAATACAATATGAGTGCACACAATTTAAATTTTATTGTATCATACGGCCATGACATAACATTGCTGCAATGACAAAAGAGTTAGTTTTCAACGTTTTATTTAACAACACAACAAATTTCATAAATTTAATTAATGCGAATTCCATTACTACGCTTTTAAAAGTTATCGGGATTCGAGAAATACTCAACTGTATAGACTATGGATGAAAGTTGATCATTTTTGTTACCTATAATGGCAGTAAATATATGTATAAAAAAAAATGCTCGTCATTTAAGTTAATAAACAATTTCAAATTACTAATGCTTTTAATGTTAAAAATAATCAAAAGGCATGCAATGATGAACATACTTTTACTACAGTGCTTAATTTGAGTTAAGATATGGATGGAAATAATTTATTATATTCAACATTTTCATTTATTTTTTTAAGCTATTGTTGTTTGAATTGTTTAAAAAAATTAAATGTACCTAACAAACGTAATTGAGCCACAAAAAGAAACTGCTCATCTCCTAGTGTGAAAATGTAGTGCCCTATAATGTCTTTATAATATTATGCTTATTATAGTTATTATGCACTTGAAACAATATATTTAATTGATGGTTGTTGTGTTTGAAAAAATTGTTTGTTTAATAATATTTTTCAAAAAGTATCGAGTTTAAAAAGATCTTACTACAAGCTTATTAATTTTCAACTGTTTGTTCAAACTTTTAAATGCTGTAATATTAACTTACGAGTTTTTTATGTAGGTTGATACATAGTATTATATTATTGAAATGTTTAAAATAAAAATAAAATGGTATTAAATACAATTCTCCGTGTACAAAAATGTACCCAGGAAGTTAAAAATATGTAAAAAAAGTTTTTTAAATTATGAAAATGTAGAAATAGATACCTATTATAAACAAATTACTGCAATGTAAATATTTTAAATTAAATATTATACATTAAAATTTTTTTGAATACAATTATATTTTTTGAATTTTAGTATCTTAAAGTAACTATTTTTATCTTTTAAATACCTAACCACGTCTAGAGTTAATTTTCATTATAATATGACGATTAACGACACATTAGGCAGTGAAAGTTATATGCCTATTATTTTATTACCAATTTCAAATGTGCGAAGCTACATATTATTATATCTCTAAGCGACATTATATTATAATATAGTGTATCTTCTATTATAATAGGTACGAATACTCTATGGAGTATATGTGAATCAAGTTCTGTAATATTATAATCTATTATGCGAGGAAGACTTGTGCCGTATACTTTGTAAGTAACTATCTGTATATATATTTATGTATATATATAATATATTATACATACATATACACACACAATATACGCTATAGTGTATAACTGTATATTAGCAGTTTCAGTCAATGTGAGTATAATATAATATTATGTAAATTATAACAAATAATGGGTTTGGATTTGTACGTTGTTGGAACTTGGAAGTTCTAGTTTCCATTTAGAGAGTAGAAAATTATTGAAATAACAGAATTTTCTTTATCAAACAATTGAATCGCACACATAGGTAGGTAATAAATAACCAAATAGTAATCATAAAGATTTTGTAGTTTCTAATGTTTTTCTACAGTTCTGTTTTTGCACGGAAATTGCTATTCGACTTTTTATACATAGATGATAATATAGGACATTTTATAAAAGTTGTTTAGTAATATTCATTTGCCTTGTATGAGTTGAGCCAAAGTTAGACTTTTGTCAAGTACATTGAACAATAGAAAGGGTTATGGGACACTAGTGGACTAAGTTTTTACCATAATGTAAAGAATGAAAGTAAAGTTTAATGGTTTTTCTTAGTTCAGATCAAGTTTAAATTAAATAACTATTAAAACAATCATTTTTTTCCCATTTGGGAAACAATTGATTCAGTTATTAAAATTCACAGATTCATCAAGTTAAAATAATATGTCATTTGTCGGATATCATTAGAATTTATCGCATTATCGCAATACATTATACATGAATTTGTTTATTTTTGTCTGTCCTTAAACGTTATAAAAATTGTGTTCACATATTACACGAATATATAAACATGTTGTTACAAGTTGGGCATAGTTTTTTCTGGTAAAATATAATTATGTGGCAGTAGTTCAGTTTTTTTTTTAAATGATATTGTTGTCTCTCACATATAGTATAATAAGTACATTGTGATACCTATTTTTGTATTATATTAAAATCTATTAGCATCTGCTAGTATATTACGAAAAATTCCAATCTTTACCTATTATAACGTATTGTTATGCGTTTTAAATACGGAATAATTATGGGTACTCCCATACCTACTACAGCTTAGTGTCTTAAACACGAAAATATAGGTAATACATGTTTACGAAGGTAAATTGAGCCTTACAAAAAACATTCTTCACAGAATCATGTTAATGATGAGTGTGTGATTTAAGTTTCTCATTAATCTGCGAACTGAATGAGAAAATAAAAACTTAGATGATTAAAATGTCTTGTCTCCGTCTTCCTAAAGCATAATGTAGCAACTTTACATTAAAAAAAATTCGTTTACTCTGTTAATTTTGATATTAGATTGAATTGTCAAATTTAATGGTAGAGTATTCGGGGCCCCCATTTGAATATTCATTATAAATAAACATTGTTCATTATTAGAATATTAAAATATTTGAAAATAATTTTATTGTTAGATTTCATTATCTACATATTTTTTGATGGATTCTTTCCATCCGAAAGTGGAAAGTTGAATTTATAGTGTAAAAGATATTTTATTTGTATTAAATAGACAAATACAGTAATGACATAAATTGAGATTCCCCCAGATTATATTTATAAAAAAGTTTTGATTGGAGGCAATTAATTTTCATGGCAAAAAAATTAATTCGAAATTAAATATTAGTTAGTAATATAATTTATGTATAGTAACTACAAATTAGTATGCAGTATGCACTATGTTTTATTCGATTTTTGAAGTTTTCAGTTTATCACAATCAATTATAATTATGATAATAATTCATGAAAAATTGTATAAAATAAAGTATGTATAATAATTAATAATATTAATATCATGTATTTGAACACTTTATATATTTTATATTCATAGATCCTAGTTATATATAAATTAAAACACTTTACAAGGATGCAATGAAATGATGAACTTCCATCACATCTGTTTTAATTATTTATTAAATAATACAAAACTATATGTTCTTTTACACGTGTACATAAAATTGTAATATTAAATATTTTGATTTTTTACTCACAATTAAAATAAAACAAACGTGTTAAAAATAATTTAAAGTATTATTTAAATATATATCAAAGTAGTAATTGTATATATTTTTGGTCATAGTGATTTTATTTAACATGTAATAAAAAGTAAATATATAAATATATATGTAAATATTTTTAAAGGCTAAATGTTTAATATCAGTGATATATATATATATTTTTTTTATATAATATCATATAAAACGTATTTATCTAACCAAATATTTACACAGATCTTAAACATAGCTGTACTTTTAACTGGATTAGCATTTCAGCTTCAAAAATATGAACACTAAGTGTATTTAATACGAAGGCCACTGAAATGAAATAAAAAAATGTTCTCAGTAGCTTTTGTTTGGTTGATTGGTCCTGACAAGGCCTCACGGCTCACGGCTGGCTAAGTGGATATAGATCAGCTGGTACAATGATTCAAAAACTTTATAATATTATAATGTTTTAAAAGTCAATTTTTTGTATGGTATTATGAAACATACCTAAGTGATATTTGTAATATTTTTTCAAATATATGTATTTTTAGTAATACACAGGATTGAACGCCTTCAATCGTTTTTTGAATTGATTGTTCCGAAAGTAATTTGAAAACAAATTCAGAGAATAATAATATTACAGTAAGTAATTTTTTTCTTATCAAATTTATTGTCCAAAGATTTTGTATTTGGATCAAATAATGAATACTTGTAATAAATGAAATACTTTTTAAACATCTATTTTTGCTTTATAAAAAATACACAGACTTATAGTAGTTTATAAATTATAAATTATAGTAATTTTTGTATTAATTAAGAGTAACTCAATTAATTTGGTTCAAGTCTTGATTCTTGCACTATTGTGTTTTTGATATATTTGCTATATTTTTTGATTCTGACGAATATTCATAGTCGAATAATTTTTCATCATCTTCGGTTTTTTCTTTGTCTAGATTAACATTACATATTTATAGAAAAATCATAATAGATAATAGTTATTTTGTGTATTTAAAATAATTTAATTTTCGAATAAGTTACCTAATAATGGTTTATTCGTTGTCAAATGAATAGTTGGTTTACGACCATCGTGTTCTTCGGACTTCAAATTTTTGGACCTAAACAAAAAATAGTGTACTTGGTTTTATTTACGTTTTTAAATCCAATGACATTAGTGTGTTATAATTTATAATCGTAACTATTTATTATGTTAATGGTACGAGGAGGCAGGGATAGCAGAATAATTACTTGATTTTTTTAGTGACAAAACTAAAGCTTCTGTACCTATAATATCTATGAAAAATGTAGAGATGGGTAGCTAAGGTATAATTAATATATGACATATAGGTAGCAGATTTTTAGTACTGCACTTTCCATCAAATACAGTGTCAAAATAATTGTTTTAGGACAAATATTTCATCCTTTGGCATTTCCAGTTGCAGTATAAAAGTGTATAATCAATAGGTAGGTACTTACCCAACTTCCTAACCTCTGATTATACTGAATTATAAGACTCTTAAAATTGGGTACCATTATTTATCCTTCAGTTTTCGAAATTTTTTTTCATATTTGCTTTTAATATTGTTAACGTGGTAATATTATAATATATTGCAACACTTACATTCTACGGCCACCGTCACTGAATTTTGGAAATAAGTTCAATCGAAACAATAATTTATCTGAATCTGAATACTGAACATTGTTTTTTAACGAAGTAATTATCTCGGGATGATGCTCTTCTTCATCTTCTTCAGCTAAATAAAAACAATATATATATATAGGCCATAGGGTTATGACTCATGAGTATAAAACATTTCACATGCCATTTTCAATTCAAAATATTTTGAAAAAACATTTTTTAATTTTGGTATGTTTCATAAAATCATCACTAGATCGTTTAGATGTGGTCAGACTGTTTTTATGCCTGAGTGAGTGATTAATTCTTATCAATATTATTTAATTTCCGATCATAATATTGAGAAGATATACATAAGATAGATAATTATTATGTAATTTATACATTGTACATTTGTACGACGTAAGCAATAATTCTATAACATTTAACTAAGTAGAATTGTTTACTGAACTCTCTACTATAGCTTTAAATAAAAATTTGATTTTTTATTTTTCTTCATCAAAATGAAATATTTCGTGAAACATTTCAAAATGAATTTCATGAAATTTTAAAACAATATACATATATATATATATTATATAATATGTTAATACACTTAAAATCATTATTAGATACTTATAGGTTTATTATTGGAACTAAAATAATAACTATTTTTTTTTATCAATTTTGAAATTATTAGTCTAGAATACATACTTTATGTTAACAGTTTAAGTAAATGTTTCAGCATAGTTTTGTGATGTCTTTAATCTGTATATATTATAGGAATATATTATGAGATTTGTGACCCTTAAATTGTAATTATATTTATTTTTATTAAAAAAAAAAATACTATCCTCTTTTATAACATTGTAATTATAATTTAAGTGTAAATTATTATAAGAAAAAAATAAATTTCAAGTGGGGGAATTTTACTTAACTTTACTTTAAATAATATTGTCTGCAAAACTAAAAAAAAAAAAGATATATTATTTTGTTCATTAACTACAATTAATTTTGAATTACTAACCTTGTTCATTATTTTCGTGTTCGTTATCCGATAATGGATAGATGTCTAACATCACGCTTATTGGCTTTTTGTTTCTTTTATTTTTAACTTTTTTTTGTTTTGGAGTATCTGGTACAGGATAACCACTGTTAAAAGGTGGACGGAATATTACGCCGGTATGTGACGGTACACTAGATGACCCTTCTTGTAGCGTAAGGTCTAAAGGAACGTCACTCTCAAAATCCATCGAATAATAGGCATCGAGGTCGGGCGGCTTCATGAAGTCATCCGGGAACGACATGATAGGCGGTGTCAAGAATACCGGCGGACCAAATTTGTTGCGGAATCTTCTCAGATTGGCACTTGGCGTATTTACATCCGGGAGGAATCTGTTGACTTCTTCCGCCGGTCGAATAGGATAGTACCGATGAGGGTTGGATTCTTGTGCTATCATGTATTCCGGAATGTTTGCCTTATGAGGGGCCCCAGTCACGTATTTCATAACGTCCAGGATGCTCTTTGGCGGGAACGGTGCTCGATAAGCTGCCAACTGCGGAAAGTCCGATCTCCGATTGAACCCATACATACCATCGGCATATTCGAGCTTATTGTTTTTATTAATTCTCCAATAATTTGAATCGTACGACAAATAAGCCGGCTGTTGCGGTCCCATCTGAGGATACAATCGCATGTGCCTACCGTTTCCTAACTTACCGTCGTCAATCCTCTTGGCAATAACTACGTCGTCCTCCGGATTTCGTTTCGTGTAGTTTTCGGAATTTTGCACACCGAGAACTGCTGTCAGAAGCCCGTCTGTCGACCGGTTAACCATTTGAGTAGTAAAAGTATTTTTTTCTTTTACGTATTTTGCGTAACTCACTATTGGTCCAGTAGACGCACCTTGAGTTGTTGGGATTGTATAATCATAGAACGAGAAGTATAGCTAAAAGAAACATTTATCATGTTAATTAATATATTTTATTAATTTAAAAAAGAAATAGTTAAATTATATTATAAACAAATATTCTCTAATAAGATATTATTTTTATAAAACTTTAAGTTTTTACAAAAATGAATAACCTAACCTAACCTGGGTGAAGAAATCTAATTAAATATGAATTTGAAATTAGATTTTTTAATGGTCCACACAAGCTTAATAAAAACCCTAAGAAAAACTATATAAATTCATTAGTAGATACTAATTTTGCACAATAATAATTATGTATTAATATTAAATTTGGAATAAGATTAACATTATATTATATTGTACGTTAAACAATTTTACAAGCAATCTGGACTTTTGAAAGGAATACCATGTCCAGTTAAAATGTCTTTTCTTTTTCAACACTCTCACACATACGAATAATATATAACTTAACAACACGCATAGAAATTCACTTTCGTTTTTGTTATACGTATTCTACATTATGCGATACAATAATACTTGTTGATTTGTGGGGTAATTAACGCGATACAATCTGAATTAATAGGTATATTATTATCGTTCCCGTCTATAAAGCGGAAAATAAATTCGGTGTTGCGTACATTGGTGTATATTGGTGTATATTGATATACCTACCTTTATACGTGAGATAACGAACTGTAATTATTTTATTCTTAATTTAAAGTTTTGATTTCGGTTTTCTAAAATTGATGGAAAAAAACCATACGCTTTCGCGGTGAAAACAAGAGTGCGTGTCCGACAAATTACCCATACAGACTATGATATAAAATAAAAATATTGTTAACTCTAAACGTGGTTTGACATAATTACCACGGAAAGTATATACCTATCTGATTATAATTATCATATCCACGCGGTTTCGGTGACCATAATGTTCACGGCTCGATTAGTACGCACTATTCGTGTAACTACTTGTAAACGTATCAAAATCCTACTGTGAAATTATAACTGTTCTCTGATAAACAAGATGTATTAATTCATAGTGTAAGAAATACACTATAGTGTACCTTATAATATATATTTTTTGAAACCATCACTATTTCAGAGGAGCTTCTTTTTAAACGTTCGTAATTTAATTTTTTTTAAATGGTTCTTAATAACCTTAAGTGCTTCCTAAAGAAAATGTTCTTTTAGTGATTACGTGTTCTTTCTTAGTTGAAACGGATACAAAAATAAAATAATATAATATGCTTACTGATTAGTTTGTATGAAGTTTTTAAACTTATTCTTATACAACTGTAATATGTGTTGTTGGTATTTTAAACTCGTGACAAAGTGTAAGCTGATGTAAATTTTTTATTTGTTTGATCGAAATGATGTGATTTAATATTCACCCTCATATTCTTATACATATTTAATTACTTTAAATAGTTTATACGGAACAGGATTTTAGTGTATTTTATTACACTCAGTGAGTTTAATTCCACAGGGGGAATAGATTTAGTATGTTTTGGATATTCATTACTGTTCCAATGTTTGGTGCTTGAAGATTTATCATTTAAAGATTTATATTCTTTAGCAAGAAACATATTATTGATGTTTTGCTTGTATTTGAAAAAGACTCATAACACTATAAAATTGCGACTGAAATTCTCTAAGATTACACATCGGAATACGAACGAGAAACTATAAATACACGTCGTGATTTTAAACGATCACGTAGATGATGTGTACGTGATTTAATATAGTCGTAATGGAAATAGCAAAGAGGAATGTCTACCGGGATGATAACTATACCAAAATCACCAAAAGTTTCAAAACAATCGATGTGCATTTGGACATACGTAGGTACGACAGGTGAGATAGGCATCACACTGGGGAAAAAGGTTAGGATCGATGAGGAGATGAAGATATACTCATTTCTCGTCCTCCACTAATATTATTAAATTCTTAAAAATTACTTAATTTTTTACTGTTACATAAATATGTTGTAAAAATTTAGTTTCGAATCGATAATAAAGATTATATCAGGAAATTCTCGAATTTTTCTTATGAAAGTTATTAATTATTATTTATAGCTTATAGTGGAAGGCATAGTTTAAACCAAGACATAGGTGTACTTAATATTATATCTATACTTTTGTCATGCATGCCATATACTTATGTTTTATATTATAATATAATAATATGTAGTATTGTTGGATTGCTTACCACCACCGCGGCCGCAGCGATCAGGGATAGTACCAGGAGACATCCTGTGGCCTTGTCAGTGCCGCGCAGGCGTTTCCCGTCGGACGGCTCCTTGTAGATACCAAACTCGGATGCTTCGATGGTGGATTTCCTGTCTGGCGGCCATTTGGCCTCCAGCTTGACCGCGTCCATGTGATCTGCGAAACCGTGTTTTATAAGGTGCTTTTGATCGTCAATGACATGTGCTCGCTGAACAGCTCGCGCCGACAGATTACGACGACTGGAAAACTGTGTATTATCCAGCTAAATTCACTGAGTAACACGCTCATTCGCTAGCCGCTCTGTTAATTTTCCCCGCCGCACTGCAGAGCCTACCTGCACACACACTTGCCCAGCGTACCACGTCGCCGTCTTCTTCGTCATTTTACCGCTCCCTTTCACCCCCACCATGACAGCGTAAAGTTATAATAAGTACACTTAGCAATACTACCTACCTCTGCCACATGTCGTCACATAGGTAGGTATGTAGATTGTAGGTACAGTGGCTAGGCGAAGTGTCTGAATACCTCGGGCAAAAGATTTCTAAAAATACCCCCCCGCCAATATAGTTAAATCAGGAGTTTTCAACCCGGACCCGAAATGTCTTTATTTATCTGTGCAAAGTGCCACGAGCGTAGTTTTAGAGCATGTTTTTTTTATGGCATTTTTAAAAGCTTAATATATTTTTTTATTATAAATGAGGCCATCTAGATTTTTAAATAACAATTAGTGGTACACTGCGACACTACCTAGAAATTATGAAGAATGAAGTTACACTTGCCTTATATAATATATGTATTCATAATATTATCCATAAATCTCAACCAACTGTCTTATAGGTAATATGATTTGATTAATAAATAAAGACATATTATCGGTAGGTACCAATCTACTTTTCATAAACTATGTACCCACATATGAGTTAAATGTATATTTGTTTCGCCTTATTTTAAATTTTTTTCTTATGGAATTGTAGAAATTGTAGTAATTATTATTTTATGAGTTGAAATCTAATCATAAAGCTATTCACACATTTAATGTAACATTACATTGTTATGGCTTCACACAATCGGGCCCATCTGTCCACCGATAAAAGAATCAGACAGTCACTACAAAAAACATAATAATTACCACTACACTGTAGTTGCAGTAGCCGGTAGATCACATAATATATATTATACATTATCACTCGTTATGTTATTATTGTGTGATAGATGACATGGTAGATACTAGAGGTACAGACTAACGGTATATTTACGTACCTCTACCATTCCAAACCGAACTTAGATCATAGGAAAGCAGTGTAGAAAAGCGATTTATTTGATGAAAAAAGAATTTTGTTTGACTTTGCACTTGGAATAAATTCTATATTTGATTATTTACCCTTTTCGTATCCATATGGATTATTGTAAACGGTGTGAAAATCAAAATTGTACACAAGTTGTAAGTTTATTCGACATTACAATCGTCGATCTATAGAAATACACCAAGGTCTCATCTTGTGATTGACTTTGCATACATTTCGGGTTACAGCTGGTATATGATTATCAAAACTATCAAAACCAATACTCCGTTTGGGGTTTATGAGTACAAAATGAGGGTCGTACTTGGAACAATACGTACTGCACCGATGACAGTTTTGGGATGGCTTGATCGTGGAGATATTATGATCGACGATAAAATAATATACAAGTGTCATTGTTATTGTTCAATATTATATTATTTTGAGTATAGACTTATTGCTTGAGAAATCGTACACAACGACGAAATGATAATCACTCCAGAACTCGTAGTTGTAGTAGAACATGTACTCCTCGACCGTAACGAGTCACATATCAGAATGTCAGATGATATGATCCATTGAATTGCATACAATTAATACCTATACAATGATATTTTTTAATATAATATTTGAAATTAGGTTGACTTTTATAATAATATAATAACTGTACAAAATCGTTTTAAATTTTGTCCGAGACTTTATGGATTATAGAATAATATGTATTTCAATTTGTTATAAGGGGCTGCGTATATCTATTTAATAAGGAGAACTATTCAGGCGATATGTTATATTGTTCTCTCGCCACCATCTGGAATTATTTTGGGAGAGCTATTTTCGTCGGAAAATAATTGATTGGATCATAAAACTTCGGAAAATATCTTTTCTAAATTGTATTTATTTGGGAACATATTTCGTCCGAAAAGTATTTGCTTGTATAGTGCTTTTAGTTTGAAAAGTATTTACTCGAAACCGTATACCTCCATTTGGAAATTAAACAGAAAATATAATTTTGGAATTATATTGAATTGAAACATATTTTAGCAGAATAGTATAAGTGCAGAAACGTATTTTGTTAAAAATGTATTTTTTCGGAACCATATACCGTAACCTAGTTTTAACCGTTTCCAAGAAAAAAGTTTCCGATCAAATTCAACAAAATATTATTCAGTATGTTATAGTCCCATCAATATATGTAGCCAAAATATATAATATGTCTCAAGCAGATTACGATTCCAAAAAAAAGATTTAATACAAATCCAGTTCCAAAAATATGACGTATTTTTGATGATATATTTTCCCACGATAATACGGTTCCATATAATCCAAACCAATAATTTTCCAACTTTATAAGTAGGGCGCAACCTAACCTAACCTTTTGTTTTAGTCGTTAATCATTAGTGTGCGTTGAGGGGTATTTATGCACTCGATGCAGGTGCGCACATGTCAGTGGCATAAAAAGGAAAAATGAAGCGTACCTACCTACTCAAAACACGCTTTAGTAAAAACTCTCATACCTCGTAGGGTGGTCATATTACAATAACTCACTTTCTACGGAGTCCATTGCACTTCGATTCTTTATTACGTTACTGAAAATAAAAATAATAAAAAGTGAAAAGCTTGTGAAAATTGTTCATGTAAAAAATCTTAGATAATACTTTAGAAATATAATTTTTTTTTTGAAGTCCACTGTAAGAAGTCTTCATCTTTCTACAAAAAAAAAAAAAAATGTATCGAAATTGTATTGTCGTACGAAACCTGAAAAAAAACCTGTAACTTGTAAGGCACGTTTTTGAGTACAAAAAACAGGTCATGGCCCATTAAATGCACTATTTTCACATATAAATAAACCTTTCTCAAATTCAAATAAAATTATAATTGTCCAAGTATAAAACGATTGGAGAGAGCCAACTGTATAATATCTAATTATTCTAATTATTAAAAACAACAATTTTAATTATTTATTACATGTTACCGCATTTTACATAATATAATAGTACAATATTTTAAAATTAAATTATGCATAGCATTCCGAGTATAGAACTACAATTTTACAAAATAAGATTTGTTTAAAGTTTAAATGTAAAGTTATCAAAATAATTGAGTAAATACATCACATATTGGGTACGTAAGTACTTATGTGCTGTCTACTGTAGAGTACTGATGTATGTTAAAATGTTTACAAGGCAATTATAAGAGATGACAATTTATTTTTATTTTTATAGTAAAATAAAAATATTTTAAAAAGCAGTATTAAAATAAATGTAATGAAAAAAGTAAATTCAAAAATGTTTAATTCCATCAAATGCACAAATATGTCACAAAACACTAAAAAAAAGGTTATAAGTAATTAAATACATTTAAAATTAAAAAGATTTTAAAAGAAATTAAATAAATTAAAATAATAAATGTATAATAATAATAATAATTTATAATAATTAAAATTTGATTTATTTATTTTAAGACTAAAAAAAATAATTAGAAACTAAAATCAATATTTTGAAAATCTTTATAATAAATAGTAATCATATGTTCAAAAATGATCGTGTTATATATTATTATGTTATATTCTAAATAATATAATGCTTGATTGATTGTATGTATTTTTTTTAGTACCCGTGCAGTAGGTTAATGTAGCTTAATTAATGTAGCATACATTGTTGAAAACAATGGCAAAAGCAATCACCATAGAACTGTATGGTTGTATCGTTTCTCTGTCAGAAAAAAGAGCACCAACGGGTTGGTCTGTACTGGCGGGTAATGTCAAAATGAATATATTCGATTGTACGACCTAAGGAATTTCACTTGCAGTATTTATATAAATCATCAGCAAACGTTATGTAATTAATGTAGGTAAATAAATAGGTACGTTTGTTCAATCAAACACTCCTTAATAATTATTCGCGAACACTAATAATAATAACCAGTAATTTAGTTATGGTTGTTATATTAATTGGTTTCAACCCCATAATGTGTGTTGTTATATAACAATGTAACAATGTTGTAATGTGAAGTTCAGAAGATATATATATATGCAATATATAATCATATAACAATGTATGTTTTTTTCGTGTAAGTATACAATATACGAGTACACATAGGTACTCGATAATACGTTATAATAATACGACTATACCAGCTTTCTGGTTACTTGAGTAATGACATTTGAACTTATCTGTTAGTTACATGCTTATTGCTTATACAGGTACTTACTTTTTTTTTTGTAACGAAAGAGTATAGGTAAGTAAAATATAAAGTGAAATAATGTCCATTTCACAAACGGAAAAAAACCTTATTAATTATTATTTGCATTTAAAGCGAAAAATATAAATATAAATAGAATATTATTTAAATTAAAGGCTCTTCGGTCTTGTTTTGATTGGCTTCAAATTTTAATTAATGAAGAGTAAAAACGAAATAATTTTACATAATATGTACATCACACGATATTTTAAATAATATGAGATACCTAATATTATTATGTCTGAAAGTAAACTATACAAAAATAAATAAGTTTATTATAACCACAGTCCAAGGGTACAAAATACAAATAATAATAATAATAATAATAATAAACGACATGTTGTTAGTATTGCATTTCCATGGTTTGACACATTCAGTGCACAGTGTACCACAGTGACAACTACTGACAACAATAAACGGAAGGGCCATTATATTGTAGGTGTAATTTGTTATTTTGGACACCCGACATTGAACAATTTTATACACATAAGGTGTACTAAAAATAAAATTAAAAATCAATAATTATTGGTACCTACGTTTTTTAATGTCATGAACGATACGTTTATAGCTTAGCGTAAGAACACAAAAAAATTGGTGAATTTATTAAGTAAATTATTCATCTTGTTTTTTTTTTACTCGGCAAATAAATTGTCATTTACCTACCAACAAAGTGATAATCCTCTTAACTATACCACGGTTAAAATATACTAAATTGTAAATGCTATTTTAGTATTATATTTGGTTAACGTAGAAGTTAAAATAATATTTATTGTATTAATATTTTATAGTTTTGTGTACACTGAAGATATTATACGATAGTATAAGTATTAAAATATTATACAACATAATAAATTATATCAGGTGTTGAATAAGTATATGAGTTAGGTACATCTAGAGAAACCTGAATACATGTAATTATATTAGGTAAACTCCATGTTACGAAGCTTCTATTATTTTTATTATTCCTTCAAACACACGTTTTCAACACGATTCGAGTGAAAACAGAGGTATAAGTAAGGATGGATGTATATTTACACATCTTACATTGTGAAAGACGGTTCAGTTTTGTACGAACGACATTTTGTAATCGCTAAACTTTGATTTAAATAT